CCCGGTATTCATCCTGGCCGTTTGATCGGTTTCCCCACACCGACGAACATCCAAACAAGCATACCTTTGATACAAACTCTTAGCAAAATATTTAACATCCTAAACGGGATAATTTGTCAGCAGGCACATAAATAACACAAGTTAACATTCAAATAAAAATGACCAGTGGCCGGAATATAAATAAAATGACCACTTGGGCCGATATTGTACGAATATTACATAAACGGGCAACAGTCCGAGAAAAAAAATATAACAAAATTGGCACGCAGGAAGAAACAAACACAATCATCCTTCCACTTCCCCTTCGACAATAGGCGACAGTTGGGCAGGACCCCCAGTCGGTTGAGCAACGATGTCCCTCAAGTAATTAGGAACCAGAATCTGGCCATCAGCCACGTAGTAATTGACCCCCATTCCCCAAGTGTTAAGCTCGACACCAGGGTTCAACACACATGTCTGATTCACTGTGTTCTCGAAGCACCCCTCAGAAGCGGCCTGAGCATCATCCACGGCCAGATGAAAACGAGTAACTAACTCAGCCCGAGTCTTCAGATCTCTAGTGTCCTCAGGCTCGTCCTCAGCGGGTGCAATCTCGGCAGTTAAGGCCGCTACCTTTCCCTCAAGGCCCTCTCTCAAGAAAAAGGACCTTGTGCTCCTCAGAGAGCTTCCCTGACTCTGCCTTGGATAACTTTAGGGCTTTATCCTTCTCAACCAAGGCTTTCTCGGTCGTCGCCAGCTTGGCCCAGAGATTCTTCATCTCTGCCTCCTGGGATGAACTTCCCTCGGTGTACGCAAAGACCATCTGGAAGATCCGCATCAAACTCCCCGCATCTTGAGACAGAGTCACCCTCTTCTCAGGACGGCTCATTCCCTCGAGGAGGAGAGATTCGGCCTGGGGGAGACGGAGAGTTGCACCCTCGAAGAAAGACCTCTCCAGCCAGCATGGAGGAAGGTCATAAGTCCCTTTCCCTGTTTCCCCGATAAGGTTGACACTCTCATTAGCTCGTGGCATCTTCGCCTTTGAAGAAACTGAAGCAGGAGACAGAGCGACTGTGGGCTGGGATGAGGACAAGCCGCCCGACCCCGAGGAAGGAGCTGGCCCCACGCCAGCCTGTGTATCCTTCATGGCCCTCCTCGCTCGAGCAGCAAGTGTCTTGGCCAAACGCTTCTGGGCGAGATTCATTCTTTCTGCAAAACAAACAAAAAAAGAGAATAGTCAGTAAAACGAGGAATCAAACAAACAACAATCACTTACTACTATTAAAAATATATACCCAAATATCTAACGGGATCCTCGCTCCCGAGGAGCTCCCTGACATTTATAAGACCCGACTCATACACGGGCTCCTCGTTCCTATCCAACACTGGCCTACTCCCCCCCGACCAATTCGCTAGACTGGAGGGATTTGAGCTACAAACGAGGTCAGAGTGGCAAAGCTCTTCAGATCCTTATCTCCGAGCTCCCCCTCTCTCCAAATGTAGGAGCCCAATTCTCTCTCAAAGTGCTTGCTGGTCCATTGAAACGGGAACTTGCAAATCAGCGTCGTAGTAGGCTCCCCCAACTCGTTCATACGAGGAGTCCCATACTCGTTGAGAAATGACACGGTCCTAAAAATGCTCAACATCATCTTCATCAAAGAGGACTGCACCAAGATATATGTCCTTAAAATGACGAACAGATTCCAGATAGGCCTTGAGTAACTTCCCATTTCCTTGTTTAAGGGAGACTCATCCCCACTTTCTGTCAGTCTTACTCCTCTGGATATGAAAACAGTAGAAAAATAATGGGATTGACGCCCCTATCTTTAGATGGTCGCACACTATCTGGAACGCTCGCACGAATGCAATACTGTTCGGATGCAACTAAGAATGAGCCACATGCAGATGTCAAAATATGGCCACCTCAAAGTCGGAGAAGGGAAGGCGAAGACCCATCTCTTGGAAGACAATATCATACATCGGGATCCGCCTTCTATCATACCTCGAGCAGATCCTGCTGTCTTTCCCAGAGATATACAACGACCATTCTTCTGGGGCCGCCTCCTCGTGAGTATACACGTCAGTAAAAACATCCTCCCCGTGCTCGTAGAAATATGACAGCCACTCCCAGGGGTCTTTCGCGGCCCATTCCCGAGGGTCCTCATCGTCCCGAGGAGGAAAAATGATGCCCTGAACCACAAAGGTCACCCCCATGTCGGGTTCCCCCATCTGCTGGTCCGTCTGGTTCTGCATTTCCCCGGAGACCTCCAAGATGCTCGACAAGCTACTGGTCTCGCTCGAAGAACTTCCGGAGGACTCTGTAGATTCGCTCGAAATAACGACCTGAGCATCATCAGCCATGGCACTTGAAAAGAAGAGGAAAAAGATGAGCTCGACATCAATTCTAGAACCACCCTTCCACCACTAAATAAGCGAAAGGGCGCTGGGAAACGAGGATCATATCCCCGACCAGGACCCTCATTGAAGCACTCTAACGGGTGCGGGTTACAGAAAAAGCCCTAAACCCTCACTGAGGCACTCTAACGGGCGTGGGTTGCAGAAAAAACCCTAAACCCTAATGAGCCGCCTACAATGCAGCACGGAATCCCCGAAGAGGGCCCACGGTGGCTCCAACGGTCCTACACCACGGGAACGCCGTCCACTGCCAAGAGTCACCAACGTCCTCCTTCCTAACAGAACCCTAAATTCTAACTGCGTGCATCTCTAGAAAGTAGAAAGCGAAAATGCGAACGAAAACAACAACGGAAGATCGGAAACTTACCAGAAGAAGAAGAAGAGATAGAACTAAATGACCACGAGTAGAGAATCTAAGCAAACACCGGTGGTCGACTGTCGAACTAATACGAGCAGATGAAAGCGAAGGCGGAAAATACTAAACGCTCTGTTCCTCTCGTATTTATAGCTGAGATAGCCCGTGCATGCAAAATACGCGCCTAGGAAACCTTAGGGTCGTCATCATGACACCCTAGCCCTAGGTCATCATTGCACCCTTTCGCCGGCACGCTTCCCAAAAAACCCTACCTCTCCAAATTCAAAAGTTCTAAGGGCCAAACACCTCGCCTCCCCGCAAGCTAGGAGTAGCGAGCAATGACACGCCATGTTCCTCGAGCAGATGTCAAAATCGCCACTCCTGTTCCCAGAAGCAACGACTTGGGGGCTATTGTTCTGAATTGGCCCGACAGTTTAACTGGACCCGGTCCAATAGATCTCCTTGGGTACAGCGCACACAACCATGACCCATATCGCCCGCACGACCCTCTCTTGTCGATCACGATAGCCATTTGCCCTTCAGCGTCACCTCTGACCCAAGATAATCAACGAGCATCCTCTCTGTCTGCTAGACATCTATGGCGTGCAGACCACCAGGAACCGACTAGAGAGATGCCCGTAACTAACCCCCACCCCGGGACCAACGGCTAGTTGCGAGCATATTTGTCCGGTTTGACCAAGTCCTAACAGTTACCTGATTTCACGGACCCGTGTAACTAGGCGGGAAATCAGGAACCAATGGCCACGCGCCAGTGGCATTATATAAACTCTCACACCTATGAGAGTCAGATATCCAATATTCACTACTCACTACCTGATATTTTTGCTTGCACCTCTTTGCTCCTACTCTTACTTGACGGAGTGTCTTGCAAGTACAACTCATTTTTCTCCTCAGCTTATAACTCAACTGCAGATCATCTTCCAGCCGCTCTTCAGGTTCTGGTCAACCGACAAGATCACAATCACATATATCCACACAAATTATTATCCTTCTGCATAGGTCAATTTTTTTCAATACATATTAAATGGTATAATATGTTTTTACAAATGAAAAACAACTTCCGAATACACATATTCCACTTTTACTCTTTTGAGATCAAATGAATAAAAATATAACCTGAGCATTCGAAAAGAGCATCTTACAAATTTGAGGTATTTTCAATTTTTTATAAGAGTTGTGAAAAATACATAAGGCAGCAACCCTTAAATAAAAATCACAGTCACTATCACAACCTACAACTTCTCTTTGGCGAACCATGCACAACCATTTGATTCGCTATTGGTCACTATTCTAGATTTCCACACGTTTTATTTATTTTTGGTTGTACTACTTTTCCAGAATTGGTCCCGAACTTTAAAGTTTGAGGGACTTAATGTGTTAGTTAAAAGATAATTTGGACGTCAAAGGAGAAAGAATAATTTATTTGTTTTTTTAAAAAAATATAATAAAAGTAGTTTAATAATTAAAAAAATCACTCAACCACTACTTACTTGGATGTCACGTCATTAAACTTATCCACTAGCAAGTGCTAATTACGTGAATAATGGTTGTCCATGTCATTAGAAAATGGCAGCAATGGTGGATACCAATTGTGAAAGCGTGTAATGAATTATTAAAGCATAACAAACAAAAAATAAAGGATTAAAGTTTTGAAAACAATCTATTAAGATTTGTAAATTCTTTGATACCCATAAACTTAATTAAATATCGGTACGCTTAATATAATTTATTTTAAAATTTCAAGTTATTTAAATTTATATGTTGTATTTCTATTTTATTTAGCATATTGAATGCATGCCGTCACGCAGAAGCATATGTAATACAATAAAATAACAATCGATAAAATAAAACAAAAGATAAGTGAATCAGATTTTAAAAATGGCTAATGAATTTGATCATTAACAAATCCATTAACTAACAATTCTGGTCAAATAGATAGAAACCCGGACATTTCTTCAAATTTACATCATAACCACTAGTTAACGGTAGTGAGAAATTCTCAACATGAAAACCATTTCATGTAGCAAAACTTGCCAACATTTATCAACTAATGTTTTGTACATTGCCTAACAAAACCTGGGTGTGACATTTTGGGGAAAAAAAAATGATGATAAATTATTCATTGAGTAGAACCATTAGACGCTACTCAAACATATAACCTATACAAAAAAACTTGTGAAAAAGTGATGTGTTTGCTATGCTGCTTCTAGCAAAACTTTACTTCTGAAAATTATTCTGGCTTTGGCTTAATTCCCTTCACCCTGGAATATAGAAAAACACCAGAAAGAGCTATACCAGTTCCTGCATAGATAATAAGCACACAAAATTTTGAGTGTCAACAAGAGTTATCATGCAGAGACGGTTAACAAGAAAGAAGCTATTTTTTTACCTAATGCATTAATTGGTGAGACAGGTGTTTGGAAAAAAATGACAGAGCTCACAATTACTATCACACGCTTCACGCAGTTTGCTACAGAATGAGTAACAGGCGATACTCTCTCCAGTATCATGTAAGAAACCTGCACATGTTAATTTCACGCTAAAGAAATTGATTTTTGTTTTGAGTATGTAACAGTTAATGATGCCTGGATACAATGCTTCATAACAAGAAGTGGAGATTGTAACACTCTTGGATAAAGGAGGGAAAATTGTGAATAGAAGAGGAAAAACTCACTTGCTGATACGCGTGGAAACAAAGTGCAGCGAGAAGAGATCTAATATACACTTGTTGAACATCTAATCCCTGTGAAGATAAATTATATCAGTGGCGTATTAGTATCTTAACTGATATACTCACTCCGTAACAAAATATAAACAAAAAAGTTTTAGTACGAGAGAACGGTGTAATTTGATTTGAGAATGTTAACATCTTTTACTGTCATTGTCAACAATGAAGTTACTTACTGCGGATTGCAGGTAAGCAGGGGTAAATTTGACACCCTCCATGAAGATAGTTAGAGGTACTGATAGGAAGAATGACATGACTGTTATTATTGAGAAGAGTGTTATGTTGTCCATGGATTCCTGAGAAGACAAAATGATTGTTATTGAATAACTTGTGTATAAGAAAACGAATTGAAAGATAAGAGAGCATGGTTCTGAAAAAAAGGTATGCTGCTTTGATGTCAATGTTATTATTTCTCTATATCCTATTTGATTGATCATATTAAGGTATTACCTCCTTGTTAACCATGAGTTTTTTGCTAAGAACATTACGAGATTGATTTGTCAAATTGGAAGCCATTGCGCTCAAAAACCCAATCCTATTCAATATTGCAGGATAAAAACCACATGTTAGAATTCTAATGACCAAATAGTTTGTTTTCATGTAACTCAATTTATAATCTAGAAGGAGCAAGACTCACCAATTGAAAGAGACCTCCGTAGCAGACGCCAGTGCCACTCCACCTGCAATAGGCACAAGGGAAGCAACCACCCATGCTGTAGGCATCTGTAAGATAAGATTGGAAAAATCAACTAACAGTGGATTGAATTTTGAGCTTATAGGATCAAAAAACTCTTATAAGCAAGGTAACCCCCCTCATGGACACATAAGTAACCACATTGAGAAATATACTCATTAACCAGCATTTGACTGATACAGTGACAACATAGACAAGGACAAAAAATGTTCCAACTATATAAAGAATGAAATGAAACAGTTTGTATTATACATTTCCTTTGGCTCCACCCAATCTAATAATACTATAACAAATCATTTGTTTTCAATCACGTGTTCTACTTTTAGTATAGACAAAAATATCAGACATAAAATAAATTCATATGTTTTACACTAAGCTTGTACCTAAGAAACTACAGTAAACATCAATTCAATATACAATAGAAAAAATAACATTTGGTGTTGTGTTATCTTACCTCTCCAAGGAACATAGAAGACATAAGGACAGAAAAGAAAGGCTCCATTGATTTGACAGTATGAGTAAAAGAAACAGCAACTTTTCCAAGGCTCATATTAGTGAAAAGGTTCCCTAATGTATGTACCAAAGCCAATGGAAATATTGCTAAAAGCTGCACAAAAAAAAAGACGACCAGAAGAGCCATAAATTAAGAAAAATACAAAACAGAAACAGAACAAATATAGAACAGTAACAAGACATGGATGAAAATGAAAAATACCTGTGAAGAAGTGATTTTTGGTCTTTTATATAGATTAAGGCCCCACATGAATGCTACAAGGAGTGTTCCAATAGCAAATTGAAAAGCAGTGAGAGTAACAGGTAAATGGTAAACCTTCAAGACCTGTTTGTTGTAGATATTGAAGTATATGTTAAAGGAGAACCAGAGACAAAAGAGGACTCCAAGCTCTAGAGTTTTGAAGAGGCTGCTGCTGGAGGAGGAGGAGGAGGAGGAGGAGGAGTCTGCGGCGGCGGTGACAGTTGCTTTGGTGTGAAAGGTGTTGTTGTTTGAAAAATGGAGGGGTGTGAGGGAGAAGAATTTGGAGGAAGAGACGATTGGCGTGCATGATGTGAAGGAAGAGATAGAAGGATTGAGAATGGGATTGAACGAAGAAGGAGAGGAGAGAGAAGAGCGAGATTTGTAGAGAGAGAGGGAAGGGGTGATAGGTAGAAGAGTGGCCTGCATTTTGAAGATCGGAAGAGATGGAAGAGTTTTCGGGGTTATTACGAAGGGTTGTTTGTTTTGTTGCTCGACGATGATGGAGCGTGGAAGTGGGAGAGAAACCTAAATAAAGAATGTTATAATGTGTTTTTGAATATAGAAAGACAAAAGGGCATGAATCTAGACTATCATTTGTCGTATATTCCATTCTTTGCTATTGGTGGCGGCCATATTTATACTCAATCTTTATTTTCTTTCTTTAAAAAATTGGATCACGTCTTTGTCTTTTAGGACAAACGGGTCCAAATTTATTCAACTATAAAGGTTTACCACCCAAATTTTATTTTCGTTTTCATTATTTTATTCCGCAATTTCTCTTACATCTTTATATAATAAAACGTACATATAAAAATTTTAAAATACTCTTTAAAAATTTGTTTGGTAAGATTATAAAAAAGATATTTTAACTTTTAACTTTAATATTTTATATTTTTAATTTGGATAAATAAAAAAGTTTTGTTAATAATTATTTTTAATTTTTAATTTTTAGCTTTTTTATTAGTTTTTGACTTTTTTTCAAAAGCTATTTAAAGTAGTTTTTGTGTTTGTAGTTTTTGAGCTTGTAGCTTTTAACTTATTACTTTTTCTTCTATTTATACTTTTATTATTTTAACAAAAACTCAAGTTAGTGAAACATCGTAGGAGAATCAATGAGATCTACTAACATGAGGAAAATTCGAAAATTTATTGTATTTTTATGGTAGAATATTAAATAATAAATTTATTTTTATCAATATTTTAGATTAATTTAACTGAAATCAAATTTCATGTATCTTGTTAAATTTTATTATAAAATTTATATACAAATTTAATATATTTTGATGCTTTCTCAAAATTTTCAAATATATTAAAATTGTTTTACATGTCTTTATTAATACATTTATTTTTATCAAATAAATATTAATTTAATAATATAATATAATAATACATCACAATTTTCTTAATAAGAATGTCTTTTAATGTCATTTTGTATTTATCAGCTAATGTGACAACTAATCTACCAAACATTCAAATTAGCTTATCAGCTACCAGTCATCAAATATAAGCTATCAGTAATCAGCTAGTAGCTATCAACTATCAACTACCAGCTACCATCTATCAGCAAGTTTTACCAAACAAAGTCTAAGTTTATTCGAAGATACATCTTCGAACGCATCAAATACCATTTTTTTGGTCAAAATATAGTTCGAAGATGCATCTCCGAATAAACTCAAGGTATAAATTCTCAGATACATCTCTAAAAATACCTTCTCATTTAGAAGATTTTTTTTAACCACTCATTGATATTTTCGGAGATACATCTCCGAAAAGGTTCAACGGAAAATTGAATATATGACCACCTTCCACGGTCATCTCCTTCACTCTTCAAACTCCTTCCATAGCTAAAAACTCTTTAAAAAAATCATTTTCAACCAACTTTTTGATTCCAAACCAGATTTCTTGCATTTTATCACATCAAAGAGAGCAAAATAAGCTGCAATTTAAGATAAAGTTCCCTCATTTCATCCCTTATTACTTGTGTTAACCTTGTCCGAATATACATATCTTAACTCATATACAATATTTCAAATATGTATATCCAAATTTATATGTTATTGGTTTAAGCATTTTTCTGTTTTGATTCTTATTAGATATGGTTCACCCGAATATGTTTCTCAAAGTTGTTGTACGTAACGATGTAAAACATGATATAGCGAAGGATAATGTTAAACCAGATGAAGTGAAGCATGATGTTAAACCGGAAGAAGTGAAGGATGATGTTAAACTGATTCTTGTCGAGATAGATGTTGGTCAATGTTTCATAAATGAACAACTATTTACTGCTCGTGAACATATGCTTCAATGGGTCTTCATGGTAGTCAGGAATTCAGAGTTTGGCATTGTAATTGAAAAGTCCGACAATGGTTCAAATAGAATACAAGCATTTATAACCATGAGATGCGAGAGAAGTGGCATGTGTGTTCCCCGATTAGGAAGTTGAAACGTAATGACACCAAAACGAGAAAATATGGTTGTCCATTTAAATTGCACGGATATTGTAATGTGGATGAAATGTGAAAATTTAATGTTATTTCTTGAATACATAATTATGTCTTGCAAACAAAGCTAGTTGGTCATCCCATAGTATGTCGTCTTAAACTGGAGGAGAAGGAAATTTTTTGAACATGTCTTTAATCAGAGTGGCGCCAAAAATATACTTGCAGATTTAAAACGGAAATACTCAGAAAGTATTTCAAATATCAAATAGATATACAATACGTGTCATTGAAACAACATGGTGATAAGGGGTCTAAGATCTGAAATACAACAACTTTTGAAACATTTGAATGATAAAGTCATTGTTGGTGACATATTCTAGACTCGTCCCTAAAGTATCAAGTTGTTCAACATATTTCTCTTCTTGGAATTGTTGGTGTTACTTTTACAGAGAAGACTTTTTCAGTGGGATTTGCATTTTTGGAATCTGAATAAGAGGTGAACGTTACACGGACCTTGGAAGTGCGCAAGACTTTGTTGAAGAACCAAGAAAATATGTTGAAGGTAATTGTCGCCGATAGAGACATCGCACTAATGAATTCGGTTACAAAGGTGTTTCCTACATCCTACACATTACTTTGTCGATATCATATTACAAAAAATGTGAGGAGTCTGCTAAAACTCGCGGTAGCCACCAAAAAAATCAAGGGTGAAGACGAAAAAATGGTCAAACCTAGTGGGGTGGTGGAAAAGATAATAGATGCATGGACTAGGATATTAAATCCATCCATAGAAAAATTGTATGTTTCCTCCGTAATACAATTTAGGAGCCTGTGTGTTCGATATCTAGATTTCTTGAAATATGTTGAGAGTATTATTCTATACCAAGTGAATGAGAAGATTCTATGTGCATGGACTGATCAAGTTAGACACCTCGGCAATACAAAGGTGTGGTTTATTCGGAGATGTATTTTAGAAAAGTTACATGATATATGATAAGGTTTTTGAGATCCAAAGCGACTCAATACTTGTATAAATAGGGTGTGTATCAATCCTTATTTGCTACACAACACACTAAGACCATAGAATGAATTCATATCCCTACCTTTCATATGTGTATTTCAATGGAGAGAAGCCGCCACTTCCGTTTAGGATCACCGAGGAAAAATCTTTCATAGATTTGATATCCAAACTGAATACTCTCCTGCATTTTCCAGAAAATCATAGTTGTCAAGCTCGAGTATCAGTCACCCTCGTTTGACAGCAAAGGGAAGGTCCATTTCACCAAATTTTAACTGAAGGCGGATGAACATTTAAAGGTTATGTGGAGTGTTTTTCTTCGTTATTAATCAATGGGTCTGATTGAAGTGGATGTGAAGATTCAAAGATTTGTCTAGGATATAATCATTATGTTGCAACGTCCCGATGAAAACAATATGTAATATTAAAATTATTTTAATGGCTATCTATGTAATGAATGTTTTTATTTAATGTAATGTTGATGTTGGTGTTGGTTTGTTTTTTATTTTGGTTTTGTCATGTTTCTGTTTTTGAGTTTACTTGAACCAGGTCATGTTCAGAGATATATCTCCAAACACACCCTAAAAAAGATTTCACATATGCATCTCTGAACTTAATTTAGTATAAAAAATAGGATTTGGTACATCAAGAGATATATCTCTGAAAATAAGGGGCATTTTTGACATTTCTCCAGGGACCTTGAAGAAGATATAAAGGTGTAAAGAGAAATTGCCTTTTATTTTATTCCTCCTGATTTAGTAATTTTGTGGGGGAGATTTTTGTGGTGTGTTTTAATCTTCCATTTTTTTAAGAATTGGAATTAAATCTATTGATCTTTCCTGCTCTTGAGATACTCACTAACGAGTTTGTGAACTTGAATTTGATGGTGAATTGAAGCTTATAATAGGTATTTTTATGCTTCCTTATTAGATGTTAATTAATGTCAATAACTATCAAAGAAGTGGGATATTTTAGGATTAAAAATGTGTGTACTTTGGAAAATTGCCAAAAGGAGAACATATATCACACTATTATTTGTTACACGGTCCTTCTCTAATTATTTGATCTAATCATGTGTTATTTTAGGACAGTCACCTCAAATCTCGCATACCTAAAATATTCTGGTGTGTTAGGGCTAAGAAGATTACATTTAACATGTCTGTTTGACTTTTGGAATAGACAAAAGAAATTCTAAAGATGTAAAATTGATTCTTGAGTGATTTTGAGGTGTTTGATTATTCTAAAATAGAATTGATTATGCCTCCATAATTGATTCTACTTGAAGTTAGAATTTGTAGCTTCTGAGTTTAAACGAGATTCTTACATTGAAATTTGTTGATCAACTCATTTTTATATAAATTTATCCAAATATAAATCAATTCTACTAAACTTAATTCTATTAAAATCAATTATATGAAACTCAATTATGTTAAAATCAGTTTTGTCCACCATTAATCTAAACACACATTATTGATTTGTCATCAATGTAGTTATGTTATTGTTTGGGTAATTATTTGATTTAACAATCTATAAAATTTTCTATCATTGATGTTCATAGAACTCTTTTCATTAAGTTAGTGTTAGAGTATAGGAAAATATCATCTTATTGATTGCATGTGATGAACTGATTTACATGTATGGTCAATTACTTATATAATAAGTAATCACGCTCAAAGTTAACTACCTCATAACTAACTACTAGTTAGTTATTCTATTGGCAAATCACATTCTAACATACACTCACCTAATCTAAAACTAGCAAAGAAACAAATTAAAGTATGATACAGTCATTGGATCAATACACATTGACAACAAAGACTCAAATGACATAAACTTCAATTCTTGTTCTGATGTAGTTGAAAGATTAGAGATTTAATGGCTTTGTTAACACATGGCAAGTTTCTCCCATGTGTTGCAATAATTCACCTCAATATTTCCATCTTTGGTCATGTCCATAAGAAAGTGAA